AGGATGCTCTAGGGTGGGCTAAAACTTGAAAAGCAACCGTCCGGCTCATAACGTTAAAGAGGCATTTGTTGGGAGGAAGCCCAACCACCATCAGTTTGCTTTATTTCTTTTCTTTTTAATAAGACAACATTTGGAGAGTTTATGGTGCTTTGGACGTTACCTTTCTCTTTTGAATCTCTTTTGGCCTCCGATCCCATCCACCAACATTCACACCCTATCCGGTAACATTATTCTACCTCCTTATTATACGCCATTGGGGGCAATATCGAGCTTAAGTGTTGGGGAGTATTCTATTATACTTGTGTGTGTAAATGATTGGTGTGATTTTGAGTCGGAAAGATTAAGTTACAAAAAACAAACAATAATGAAGAAAGGGAATTATCGAATTTTTGTATTTTCTTTTCATTTTTTTATCGTGCAAGTCATGACTTGTTGTTTGATCGGTCGTGCTCTTCCATGGTTTCATAAGGTACTTGTTTCCCCTTGACTGTGTTATTTGTTGAAGTTAGGTTTTCGTTTCCTCACAGGCAATAGTTTTCTGCTATTTAGTAGTTGATTTACATCATAATGAATGGTTTTTTGGATCAAATACGCTTTCTCTGTATGATAATTCATACTTTAATAGTGGATATTCTAATGATGTGAGTATGTTATATTTGAAAAAAAACAAACAATTAGAAGGGGAATGTGTTGAAAGGAAAACATCTCCACATGGGATGTTGTGCTCACATATTGAGCTTGACTATGAAAGATGGATTAAAGGATGTTCATGATTGAATCTATCGTATTTGGTCCACAATCAAATATGTGGGTTCATCCAACTCCAGAATGTTGAGATTCAAAACTTAGGACTATGAAGGGAAGTTCGAGACAAAAAAACTTGTCTGTTTAGATGTGGACACTAGATGTAATTCTACTTTCATGATGTTGTAGTCAGATTTGATATTTCAAAGGGCATTTGATAGGTTAGAGGAGGAAGACCCCAAGTATAAAGTTGAGCTTGGCTTGAAAGGGATTTCAAAGGAGTTGGACTAGTGTTGTGTGCACTATGTAATTCAATTTTTGAAGATTTTCTATGATGCTACAATGAAAGTTTAGGATTCTTTGTATGTCACAATCATTCAAGCAATGATATCTTTCATATAGTGTTACGAAACATGGATGAATTCACACATTGAATGCATGAATAATTCACTGTCCTTAGAGTGTCATTTGCTCCCACTACAAATTGCTTGTAGGATCGAGCAAATAACCCCCAAGAGTCCCTTCAATTGAAATTTCGTAAGCAACAATATTACAAACTTCTGTGTTTGTATTTTGAGAATGAAACGGGAATGAGAAGATTAACGTTTGAACGAAAACTGGCAAGAAGACTCTTTTATTGTGGGAAAAAGTAAGTTTCCTTCATAAGGGTTATGTCGTTTCAAATAACTCAAATTCAATTAATTATCCGAAATTAATAGTAAAAAAATTATTTCTATAAATTAATTACATAGCCAAAAGTTCAATTTTAAATGCGTCGCGCAAATGTGCAATAAATAGCACACTTTTCAAAAAAACACTAACCACTTTATTCATAAAGTAAAGTGGAAATAAGAATTAAAAACCACTTGCACTTTCCTTCTCCCACCAATGTGGTATTTCCACTCACTCTTTTTACTACTCTAACAATCTCACACTTAGTCAACAAGATTTGAGAACACTTGTCTCAAATAAGTAACGCATACATAAAGGTATCTTTTTTATTTGAACTTTTACCTAGTGTGAGCAACTCAAAGTTCTTAGCAAATCAATGAAGAGCTTGAGCCTAACAGTCACGATTCAAAGCGAGAACCTAAGATGTCACATACGTACTCGTCTCTTCTCTAAACGACAACCACCAACAAGGGCAGTACTATTATGGCCACGTGTTGATCTTGTTTCATGAGCACACATAAAAGTTGACCTTTACTTTCGTTGGAGCGACACATGGCCAGATTTTATGTGTGGTGCTAATGTAATTCATTGTACAAGTAAATTAGTTGAAAGAAATGTGAGTTATCAACTAATTTACTTGTACAATAAAATTTGTACCTCCGTTAGAGTAACTTGTTATTATCACATTAAACCTTTTAATTAGAGAATACCTTAAGAAAAGGTTGAGTTTCCATTACTTCTAACTATTCAAGAGGTCTCAATCCATCTCTTGGGATGTCTCATAGATCATGCCTCTTGGCAATCCCTTGGTAAGAGGATCTGCCAAATTATTGCATGATCTTACATACACAATAGAAATGATTCCATTAGTAAGCAAATATCTAATGTAATCATGTCTTAGGCTGATATGTCTAGCCTTACCATTGTAAATCTTGTTATAAGCTCTAGACAAAATAGCCTCACTATCACAAAAAACAGAAATGGCTAGCATCGGTTGTGGACACAACTCTATATCTAACATCATGTTTCTTAGCCATTATGCCTATTTTCCAACCGCTGCAAGGGCTAGGAATTCAGCTTCCATAGTGGAGTGTATAATACATGTTTGTTTCTTCGAAGCCCAAGAAACAGCCTCGCCACCTAGTGTAAAAATTTACCTCGTTGTAGATTTATCATCACTAGCACTTGTTTTCCAACTAGCATAAGAATACCTCATCTCCAATGATTAGCTATGATTACTAGTGATCTATCAAATTTGCATACAACAAATGCAATGTCGGGTCTGGTACAACCCATAACATACTTCAAACTTCCTATAGCACTAGAATAATCAACTTTTACCACTATCCTTCCCTCATTCACACAAAGTTTAAAAGAAGTATCATAAGGGGTGTTATTGTGTTATCTTCTTTTATGTCCAAATGCTCAAACTTCTTGAGCATCTTCTCGACATAATGAGATCGACAAAAAGCAGAAACTGTGCTATGTTTCTTTACTTTGATGCCCAAGACAGTATCAACCTTTTCAACATCTTTCATTTGGAAAGAAGAAGTTAGATACTCCTTATTCCCTTCATGTTAGTCCCTATTATTAATATATCATCAACATAAAAGGAATATAATGACTACATACTCTTTCGTGCACTTTGAGTAAATGCATTTATCAGCTGTATGAGAAAATCCATGGGCTAGGACGACGAAATCAACTTTTTCCTAAACCACCCATGGTTCTTTCTCGGGATCGCCTATATACCATGGTTGTAGCTGTTGTAACCAATCTAGCTTTGAAAGTATGCATTGATCCATCAATATTATACTTAATCTGAAATACCCATTTATTTCCAATAACTTTAGATCCTGGAGGCAGATACACAATTATCCAAGTCTTGTTCATGATTAATGAATCCATCTAATCACTTTTGAAGTTCATTACTTCCTTGGTTGTTGAATGTTTGATTTGTGGTAAAAATTGGCTTTGATCAACTATTATTCCAATTGATATGGAAGAGAAAGTTTGAGGAAATTGAAAAAGTCGAGCAATGTATGAATTTGATCAAAAATTTGGTTTTAATATTTTATCATTTGTTTAGACTATTATTAATTTATTTGGCATTTTGTTAATTTTGCAGAGTTAAAAAGGAATTTTGCTTGGATGAGTGATTTGGTTGATGATGATTGAAAATGATGTGTTTGAGACTATGATCAATGTAGTTGATGAATATTAAAATGGTGTACCTTTTAGATGTAATTTGCGTTTTGATTATTTGATTTGGATTTCTTGTAAGGTAATCTGTACCTCTGAGATGTAATTTGCATTTTTTTTATTTGATTGGATTTATACGTTAGGTAATTTATACTTCTCAGACGTAATTTTAAATTTTTTTATTTTATTCTGGAATTAATTTTAATTTTTCTGAATTAATTAGGATTTTTGTAAATTAATATGGACTAAATTAAATATTTTAGAATTGGTTAGAATTTTTTGTAATTAAATTTGAATTTTCTGAATTAGTTTTTAAAAAATAGAATTTAGATAATTTTTTTTTATAAATCTAAATTATCTGATATTCAATTCGAATGTTTTGAAATTAATTTAATATTAAATAATAAAGGGGCTAGTATTGTAAAAAGAGAGTTGGGCCGACTCTATAGCTCTACCTGGCCCGATCCAGCAGGACCCAACAGGGCCGAAGGAGAATTAGGCCAGGTCGTGCCAGGCTAAATGTTTATCCTACAGAGCTGAATTCGTTAGAATAGTCGCAGGGAGGGCCAGGCTGGGTTTGGCCCGGTTTCACGCCTAAATCCAATTCCCATTTCTCGGGATACGGAAAAGCTCGCATTCTTCTGGTGGCTGATGTCGGCCGTGGAATGTGATGGTCGAAGATATTTGATTTCATTATTCTGTTTTTTTCTGTTGTTCTTTTGTCCGTTCCACTTGTGTTAACAATCGTGCAGAATCAGTTAACTTCCTCTTTCCGCGTTAGCCTTATAAAGGAATCGGAGCCACCGATCCCCCATTGTTCTCTGGCATCTCCGCATCTCCACAAGGCATCTTCTCTTCCCTTCGCACGGTTGCATCCACTTCCATTCTTTCGTTTCTTTCTGTATAATTGGCTCACAATTCTGCCGTCCTCCTCACCTTTACAATCACCAACGAACACGGCCTTCGGGAAGCTCCAGATGTCTCTGTCTCAAGTTGTGCGGTGAAGGTGTTTGTCTTAATGTCAGTGTGATCTATTCGCCTTGTGCTTGGAACTCTCGTCTCTCGTCCTTCTCTCAATTGATTCGTTCTCTCCTCTCTTTCGTCGCCAACTTTGTACGAACTCGCCCACTGATTCTGGGTCGATAATACCGAGATTATTTGAGGACTTTCCCCATCTGGGTCCTTGTTCTCGTGTGGGTTCTCCAATCAGGGTAATCTATTCTGTGTTTCGTCTTCTGGGTATCACTTCTCTGCCTTTACTTTCTCCTCATCTATGAAAAAGTTCCTCTTTTTTTTCTTCTTTCTTTTGGGTGTTAATATTTCACGTTCTTGGGTTCCTCAAATTTTGGGATCTCAAATTCTTGTGTTTGGTTTGATAGTAAATGGATCTGGACGGTGATCACTCGGAAAATATTTCCGAAGCTACCGAGCAGGACCAATTAGTCCCTTCGACGATCACTTCTGAAATGGCGACAACGGAGAAGCATCAAGGGAGCTCGCGAGGAGGGAAAGGGAAGAGGTTGTGGAAGAAAGTGAAGTACCAGCTGGTGGAGTACCATTCTTTGCCCGCATATTTAAGGGACAACGAATACATTCTTGGTTACTACAGAGCTGAATGGCCAATGAAGCAGATTCTTCTCAGCATTTTCACCATTCACAATGAGACTCTGAACGTTTGGACGTAAGTTCTTCTCTCTACCTCGCCTGCGACTGCTGTATTTTCTCTCCAGCTTCCTGATTGTTTACTGGTCGCTTCTAATTCTTGGTTCAGAAGCTTGATCTAATTCTTAGAGTTGTGATGAATTTTCCTATGTAACGCTAGGTTGAGGTAGCTTGATGTGGGATAAGTTGCTGGCGGGGAGGAATATCGAGTAAATTGACTTGCTATTTCCGCTTGTTTTGGAGATACAGACAGTAGTTTAATAGGTTCTGGTGACAATGAAGTCCAGTTTTTCTTCCTTTTTTTGTATTGACGGTCAATTTCCTGCCTGTTAATGTAGTACTAATGATTCGTTCACTTGCTTTTATGTCCATTTGAATAATTACTTACTCTGTTTCTACCAAAATTCTACTTGATGATACTATTATTCTGCGCAGGCATTTGATTGGCTTCTTCCTTTTTCTTGCATTGACCATCTATACAGCAACAAAGGTTCCAAATGGTCATTCTCTGCAACTTTCAGATGTTCTGAAAGCCGATTTGCACAAATTGCACGCCTGCCTACCTTCTTTGCCAAACATGCATGATCTGCATAGACTCAGGGATGAGCTCAAGACGACATTGCCTTCAATGGATTTTTCAGGATGGCATGTTATGGAACTTCTTTACAATTGTTTGCCTGAGCGATTCTCCCATGGCAACCAAACTGATGTTTGTCGCTTGGTAATTCTCCATCTTCCGTTGGTGCTTCAAAAACTTCCTGATAATTGATTACTTTTTGCAACTAGTCACACTAATGAATTTTGTACATGGCGGCTCAATTCGGGTAATATGCTGAAGGGGGTAGGCCATAGCACAGGCTAATATCATTGGGTCGCATCCCTGCGATCTCAGTCCCCTGAATGTGAGACATATTTTCAAATAATGTTACGGCCTGCAGCTGAGGTCGTAGGATGGCCATTATTCAGGCGGTATCAGCATGCACTGATGCACACACCCACTTGAGGATGTTAGCAAAATTATCGATAACTTTGCATGAGCATTGTTCTAGAATAGAAGCTAGTGTCACATTATCTTCAGTATTTTATGTTCTGGTCTTCAGAATCTTCACCTAATTCCTGATTTCCAACTAAATGCAGCGGAGCATGACAGGCGATGTCGCAAACATCATAGCACCACTTATGGTGAGACCTATAACCAGGTGGCCATTTTTTGCTTTCATGGGAGGGGCAATGTTCTGCTTACTGGCCAGTAGCATATGCCACCTTTTATCTTGCCACTCGGAGCGGATATCATACATCATGCTTCGAGTTGATTATGCTGGAATTGCAGCCCTGATAGCCACCTCATTTTATCCACCAGTATACTATTCCTTCATGTGCATGCCTTTCTTCTGCAACCTCTACTTGGGGTTCATAACGCTATTCGGCATTGCCACGGTCATGTTTTCGTTACTTCCAGTTTTCCAAAAACCTGAGTGGCGTACGGTTCGTGCATCGCTCTTCTCTTTCATGGGTCTATCTGGAGCACTACCAATCCTTCACAAGCTCATCTTGTTCTCACATCAACCTGAGGCACTCCACACTACTGGATATGAAGCTCTGATGGGACTTTGCTATGGACTTGGAGCAGTTGTGTATGCAACAAGGGTCCCCGAACGATGGATGCCTGGGAAGTTCGACATTGCAGGGCACAGTCACCAACTCTTCCACGTGTTAGTGGTGGCTGGAGCTTATGCTCATTACCGGGCAGGGCTAGTTTACCTGAAGTGGAGAGACCTCCATGGATGTTAGTGGTGGCTGGAGCTCATGGCCAGTACCTCGCAAGGCTAGTATACCTAAAGTGGAGAGACCTCCATGGATGTTGATGAGAAGAATGTGCAAGTGTTGCCATTATAAAAAAAAAAAAAAGAATGTGCAAGTGTTAATTGTATCTTATGGTCTTAGTAAATGAGACTTTGTAGGAAAATGAAACTATGACTAGACGACAGATGGAAGTGTAAAAGTCTGTGAGTTAGAGCCAAAATATAGAAATTGTAGCAAGAGCAGAATGAATGGCACGAACTGCCAATTGTGTAGTTTTCATTGCTGGTTTTCTTTAATGGTTAGCAGGTTCTCTCAATGGGGACTGGTAGCTTGATCATTACCAGCATAAAGGTGGAAAAAATCAGATGTTTTATCTTGCTTTCATTGAGATTTGGACTCCAGTTATATCCTACTGTTTGACTGCATTACAATTTGATGATGATATTCTGGTCCAAAAATTGGCTTATGGTTGTCTATACTTGAATGAATGGATCGTGCGGAGTAACTTACAACTTGCTGGTGGGATTTTTGTGTATAAACCTGGATCTCTACTGCGCCTTCTGGTTACTGCTGATACTTTTTTGTGTAATATTATTAGTAGGAGAAGTGACAGCATGAATCAGTCTTCTCCCTTGTTTTGTGCATTTCAGCCTGCTGATAGTCTCAGGATTAGGAGGTAGTTACTCTTACTGGTTGCCTGCATTACACTTCAATATGATGATATTCATATTCATAGTCTCAGGATCTTGTGGTTGCTGCTTGTACATGGTTAGATAATAGTATTAGCATGAATTGAGTGTTCTCCCTTATCTGATGCTTTAGTGCCTGCTCTGCTCCTTTTGAGTTGCAACTTTTGGACACACAGTTTCTTGTGAGTCAAACTGATTTGCTGATTCATGCTGGCGTAACGACTCAAATCGTTTGACAACTTTATTTATTGTAGTCAGTGGCGGAGGGAGGTAAGGAGGAGAGGGGTCCTAGGACCCCACTTGGCAAATAATTGGGCAACAAAACCCTTTAAATACATGGATTTTAGTACGATAATTCAAGTTTAGGACCCCATACTCTCAACGATGTTAGCTCATCAAGGACCCCGGTTAACTCAAAATTCATTAGGTACGCAAGCATTTATGTTAGTAAAAATTTAAGGACCCCAGTTGACTCGATGCCTGGCTACGCCACTGATTGTAGTGCCAACGTTGACTGTTTTTGTGGATGTCTCACCAACCGCATATGTGTGTATTATCTCTTTGTTGGTGCTTACCGATTCTGATTGATGCTTCTTAACCCATTATGACGCATGGAAGAGTTAGAGAACCGGAAGGCGGAAGCTCACACGAGACAAAAAACATTACAAACCGACAAATTTTAACGATGATAGCGGAGATTAATGCAGGAAAGTAAGGTTTAAAAATATGCCCAAATCAGAGCAGAGCTCCTTCGTCAACAACTGAAAGCCAACAACGGAATTGTTTTTGGGGAAAAAAAACAAAGCCCGGAAACGGAGTCCAAAATCATTTTATTTTTAACAGGGAAAGTGTCGGTCGTTACTCTCTCTCCCCAATCCCGCAGACTCTGCGTTCCTTCCTCTATCACGTGTAAAGCAGTAAACGTGCCATTACTTGCAAGATCCATCCCCCATCCGCAATTCACGCCCTCTACTCTATTTTCTTAACTCACTCACCACTCCGCTTTCTTTTCCTCTCCATTAATCCCAATCTCTCTTTCCTCCTCCCCCCCAAAATTCTTCCCATCCTCTCTCTGACGCAATTCATCGAACACATAGACCGCGTCCACAATTCCTCCCTTCTTCCTCCACCGCCGTTCGTCTTCTTTCAGACCGTCAGCGCCCTGGGTCTCCCACTCCCTCTCCCAACAGTCTTACTGAGATCCCTCCGCCGGGAACTGAGTTTTCTCTTCGCTTACCTACCGGAGGAATCTGATTCTGCGATTCGACATTTTATTGTTGATGGTTTTCGTTCTGCATTAGAGAATTGCCAAGGGTTATTCGTCCAGATCTAATGGCGAAATCTTCCACCTCTTCGAGAAACAGGCCGTCTCCTCTGACCAACAACGATGGCTGCCTCTACATGGGCGGTGCCGTCTTCGCCTTCTTACTCGTCTGGTGCCTCTGGTCCTACGCCGGCCCGGCCGACTCCGGCGGCGGCAACAGCTTCATGCCCAGGGTATTCAGCGACATCGGCTGCACCCGCCCGGCTCCGAATCTCAGATTCGACCCGCCCGACTCCACCTTCTACGACGACCCGGAGCTGCGGTACTCGATCGAGAAGAAGGTGACCGGGTGGGACGAGAAGCGGAAGGAGTGGCTGAAGCGGCACCCGACCTTCGCCGCGGGTGCCAAGGACAGGGTCGTGATGGTGACCGGCTCGCAGCCGAACCCGTGCCGGAACCCGATCGGCGACCACCTCCTTCTCCGGGCGTTCAAGAACAAGGTGGATTACTGCCGGATCCACGGCTACGACGTCTTCTACAACAACGTCCTCCTCCACCCGCGGATGAAGAGCTACTGGGCGAAGCTGCCCGTGGTGAAGGCGGCGATGCTGGCTCACCCGGAGGCCGAGTGGATCTGGTGGGTCGACTCGGACGCGTTGATCACAGACATGGAGTACAAGCTCCCCTTGGACCGATACAACTACAAGGGCCACAACTTGGTGGTCCACGGCTGGTCCAAGATGATCTACGAGGAGAAATCATGGACTTCGCTAAACGCCGGCGTTTTCCTCATCCGGAACTGCCAGTGGTCCATGGACTTCATCGACGTTTGGGCCAACATGGGCCCGATCAGCCCGGACTACAAGAAATGGGGGGTGATCCAACGGTCGGTGTTCAAGGACAAGCTGTTCCCCGAATCGGACGATCAATCGGCCCTGATTTACTTGCTCTTCAAGGACCGGAAATTGACGGACAAGATTTATCTGGAAGGGGAGTACTACTTCGAAGGGTATTGGGTGGAGATCGTGCCGACGTACGCCAACATAACGGAGAAGTACACGGCGATGGAGCGGGAGGACGGCACGCTGCGGCGGCGGCACGCGGAGAAGGTGAGCGAGCAGTACGCGGCGTTTAGGGAGCCGCACCTGAAGGACGCCGGGAACGGGCGGTGGAGCTGGCGGCGGCCGTTCATAACGCACTTCACCGGGTGTCAGCCGTGTAGCGGGGACCACAACCAGATCTACGCCGGGGAGAGCTGCTGGAGCGGGATGGTGAAGGCGCTCAACTTTGCGGATAATCAGGTGTTGAGGAAGTATGGGTTCATGCACCCGGATCTGCTGGATTCCAATACGGTGACGGAGACGCCGTTTGATTATCCTGACGAAGGACCGTGGTGATTAGATGGAAAAGAAGGTAGAGAACTGGTAGAATTGCAGGAGCGAAAAGCGAAAAGCGAAAAGCTTTGCTGGATTGTGTAATTATATGCTTAGGTGCTCTCAGGCGATAATAATAAAAGAAGTTCTCCGATATTTATTTGTGTCTAGTGGCTAAAAGCAAAGGTTAGTGGAGTGGAGTACTGGAGTTTGATCTTTTTGAGTGGTAACCAAACGGAAAAAAGCAAAGGCCGTGGCGTCGAAAAAATTCCTTCAGACCCGAAGAAAGGATTGGGAATGTTTGAATGATAAGATACGTCAGAGTTGAGAATAATTTGAGATAAGTCTGGAAAGAGTACATATTTGGCATAATTATCAAACAATGGAAGTAGCAAATTTGAACTCGTTAATGGTGAAAGCGAAGAGCAACATCTATGTTGTAGATCACTAGATTGGTGGATTAATGTATAGATCAAATTAACTAGTTGTTCTTGGATTGGATCAAATAGATTAGTGAATTGGATTCTTGTATCAAATTGATGTCCAAATATCCAACCAAACATATGGGGAAAGTGCCAAACACATGAAGATAGATTGATATTGTATTCTTAACACAATGTCTCTCTCGACATTATCCTTAGAAAAGATTTACTTTTGACAAAATCTCTCTCCAAATGTGTTGAAGGCGATCCATTCCAATTCTCTCTCCAAACTGGACACTCATAACCTTCATACTTCAGTTTAGTGATGACAATTTGCACAAGCCCAGTTGGCTATTACCTGACCTGACATGCGCTGGGCGTAGTGGCGGATCCAGGGGGTGGCCAGCCCGGACCACGGCCCAGCCCTCCTCTAAATTCGGAGCTAGTATAACCCTTATAAGTTTATCGATTTTAGTCATCCTGCCCAGTGTTATTTTATAACAAAATTGTGTGTAATTAGGAAAATGAGTCAGATGAACATATTCAAATCACAACTCAAAATTTAGCCTATAAATTCTAGCTCTAATGATTCTCGTCTAAAGAAAAACAAACAATGAAACCGAAATAGGGATGGACACAGAATACAAAATTTGATTAGCCGATTGATTTGTCTAATGTTGACATTGGCCATTTCAACAAATACTATGGAGAGAATCTTTTCAATAATGAAAAGGGTGAAAAAGAATTTGTGCAACCAAATGAGTGATGAATTTCTCGTAGATTGGTTAACTATTTTATTTGAAAGAGAGTAATATGCTCTTGGTACGGGAGGAATTTTACAATGCTATATAACATTGGTGCTAAAAGTTTTTGTTTTTATAACGTTATGGTACAATTTCATATTGTACATATACTCTTCAAATTGTACCATAACATAAATGTACAATTCCTTTATGGTACAACCTAAACTTATACAGTTAACGTTATGGTACAACTTCAAATTGCATATTAAAGCACCAATACTTTATAGCATAGTAAAAGTGCTCTTGATATGGATGTATACTCCATTATTGATGATTCACTCTATTAAAATATCGACGTGTACAATTTATATTGTAAAAAAATATGAATTTTTTTATGGTATCTAATTTCTAATGATATGCGGCCCAATGCTCTACTATGTCCTGGATCTGCTGCTGGGTGGGTGGGACGTGGGTACTACTTCCGACTTGTCCCGCCTTGTCTTGCTTCGTTCTTGACCTATCATACCTTGATTTGTCTCAATATATCTCTTATTGTGACTTATCTAACTCATATTTTCACCCAATGATACTTTAGATATGTGCATGACTTTATCTGATAACTAATTGGACTCCATTGATCTATCTATTATCTTTATTTTTCATTTACGAATTTCTCCCCTGTTTTATCACTAAAAATAAACATTCTCTTTAAATAAGATATAAGAATGGATCGATGTTATGTCACGATTGTAATTTATACGGGTATTACCCGACTTGACTCGCGCGAGCATTGAGAGCCCGGCTCGCCAGATTGCCATCAACTCGAGTTTGTAGGGAAATATGTCACAACAATAACCAGTCCATGCCACCACCATTTATTCCAGTCAGACCCGACACCATTATTTCCCCATCTTTAGTTTTTCCCCCCATTCCTTTCACCTCTGGAAACCATGTGCGAGCTGCCATCTTTTACTTCTTGTTTTTTCTGTAAGCACCATGTATATACATACAGTGATACAGAAATATAGTCACTCTCATGCAATGTAATCAATTGAATGTGGGTTTGAGATTCCATTAAATATGAATCATTACCCACCGTTTCTTCACTTTATCATGTCAAATGGGGTTATCAATTTGTAGGTTAGAAAGTCGTGACTAGGTGAAGGCAGAAATGGTTAGTGAGAGGAACCAATAGGGGTGTCAGTTCGAGTCGGGTTCGGTTACCCAAACCGAAATTCGAAAAAACTCGAAAACCGAAAACCAAAAATCACTAAAACCAAACCCGAAACCGATGAGGACTTGCGGATTCCGATTACCCGAAATTCAAAAATTCCTTATCGGGTTCGGGTTCGGTTAAAGCAAAACCGAAACCCAAAAGCCCGAACGCCTAAAAATACGAGCTGAGTTCTATTCATTGGAGGTTTTTAGCCGCAACCCTAAAAACCGATAAGCAAAACCAAACCCAAAACCGAAAAATCCGAAACGAACCCGAACCCAAAAAATCGTAAATGTATATAATCGAGTCGGTTTCGGGTAAACCCGAAACCGAATTGACACCCCTGGGAACCAATTACAAAAGCAATGCTTTGGCTAAAGCGGGCAAGATTCCCTTGGCTAATTCGGATAAGCGTTTAGTTTATTGGCAGAGCCTGCAGAAACATCGCACTTCATGCATAATCCGCAGACTTTGCTCCCGTTTTCTAATTTCCAGATGATGATTCATGATCCGCAGTTGAGATGTGGGCTGGTAGTATCGACTCATTATCCTCCTCTAGATCAATGTTCTTCTGTGCAGAATTTCCGTCGTCAACTGCATTCAAGCTTGTAGAAACTCCCAAATTCGAACAAGGGGGAGGTACCAGCTTCTCCTTGGCCAGCTTCTTTGCCTTCCTTCGCTGCTTTATCCTGCTCGCATTCGGCGTTTCAAGACGTCGTCGCTCTCCCCTAGAATTACCCCCATCTCCCTCGCCACTCTGTTCGGCATTTTGTCGAACACCTAGACTGCTCTCTGCTTGCTCTGGCGGTGAACTAGGTAGTAGCGGTCCAATGATTCCCTTCCGGCGGGAAACGTCTTCCTTAATCTTCTTCTTCCTCAACCTCTTCCTCTGAGCCCTAGATAACTTCTGGACGCCTCCATCTCCCTCCTTGTCGCTGCTCGGCGACGACGACGAACCACCTATCTGCAACCCGTAATCATCTGCATTTCCGAAACCCAGAAACCCATCAGATCGCACCTTCTATAATAAAGTAGAATTGTAAGGCTAAGCTTTCACCAATTCATAAAACCTGGAATGAGATTCACATCGAACTCTTCAGTCGGTGCAAACGCCGGCGTCTCATCGTCTCCCTTCGCCTGGTTCACATTCACTCAAAAAATATCAACGCTGGAACGTGCACGAACTATCAAATGCATTTCGAAAGCGCAAAATTCAGAGAAGCTTACATCGCGGTCCGGCGATGGCTGATAACGGGATTTGAGGAGGTCGTCCTGGAGTTTCTTCCGCTTCTCGGCGCGTCGCATTCTTACTACTGGGCGCTTTTCTAGCCTAATTCAAAGCGCCTTACTACTTAATAGCGTGCTTGCCTATTGTAATACAGTAACAGCGATAACTGAACCCGTATAAATAACCAGCTCTAGCCCAGCTACTAAACTGAGGATTTCTGCCATTTCTTCTAACCTAAACAGCTAAACCCAAGCCAAATCGAAACACAACCAGCATTCACGAACCCAACAGTTTCGAATTGGCGCAGTGTGCGTATGCCTATACACTGAGAATCTAAATACTGATGACCCAGTAGTAGGTAGCTAATCTTGGCCATATTCAAAGTTGTGATGGAATGAACTAATTGTGGTATCAAAAGTTTTAATACCAACACTTGAGTAACGAAAAACGCCCATTCTCTTGAGTTCAGATAGTCGGTTGCTCCGTCTAGAAAGCAAGACGACGATATATGATTCATTCGAGTCGAGCCACACGAATTAAGCTCCTACATGAACATAACAGCGATATACCCAACTGCAGATAGCTAACATCTTCAAAGTGAAGCGTCTGCAAATGCTCCAGCATTTGGTTAGGAACTGGAGAGTGGAGATGGATGAATCAGAGTGGCTCCCCTGAGATCCACCTGCTGAACATGGCAAAACATTCCCTGGGATTATACTCCGGTGCAGTGTGGCCTCCTCCCTGGAACTCCAAAAAGCAAATGAGATTCAGACAACAACAGCAGGTATCTAGCAAAATCCGTACTACAAATTTAGCCAGAGTCAATCCTGCCTTCACTGTTGCGAATGTTAAGCCATTGGCGTACTTCTTTGTGTATCTGCAAACAAGTTGGTAAATATAAGGCAACGTTTTGAACGGGATACTAAATGGTGACAGTAAATTGTCATCCCCAAGTTTCAGGGTGCCCTACGTACCCTGCAACTTGACCATCAACCAGCCATGGTCGCCACTTCTCGACGATTGAGAGATTTAACGCCTTGATCCAAGCTACGGTTCCAATGTAAGGAATCACCATGTCATGATCACCACTGAACAGAGATAGTAGTGAAACTCCAGGAGTAAAGCAAATGAAACTCGGGTGCATTGATAGGGAAAAACCCGGTAAGCCACGTCCCACCTGTAAATGAGAGCTGGAAAGCCTCTGACATTCAGATGATGATGGTACTTGACAGTGCTCCACACATCTCTAATGTAATGTAAGCTCTCATTGCATCGAATCCACTGCCTTAATTCTCCATCCTGGTGTTCAATCAACCACTTTTAACAGTGAGCTTTCATTTTTTTTAATTTCTTTTTTTTATTATAAAATCACATTGAGCTATCTGCTTATATAGAAGTTATATTTTTTTCTCAACATTCAAACTTAGCATGTTGGTTGTTACCTTCCAAGCATGAAGCGCCTTCTGAACATTGATATCGTTTGCCCATATGTTGCAGAGATAGCTATTGTACCCCTGAAAGTAAGCTATTGGGTCAGTCCTCAGTCCATCAATTCAAATCAAGAACATAACAACATCATGAAAGTGATAGATCACTGAAGGACTATACTCACTCGACATCTGGGATGCGGGAAATCAGCTGGTATCAGGGGAAACTCTTCAGTTTTCTGATGAAGAAGAGACCATTGATGAAGTCCATCCAAAACGTTGAATGTCCTGAACGTGGTAGTACATTTTTGTTCCAGAATGTGTGCTCTATTTATTCTTCCAGTGCACTAGAGGAAGCAATTCCATTTTAGTCTTAATAGCCATGCAGCTGACATATAGAGATAATAAAATGCTGGTGGTGGCAGAAGAAAAGAATCAAGCAGCTTGAAGACATTAGTCATGCCTTGGAGATGGCTTGAAGGTCCTCCATGCACTTGACATTAGCAGGATCTACTTCTACATACTCTCCTTTGCAATCCCTTTTGGCAGACTGAAAGATAAAACAATTTACATAACCAAAAAGAAAACAAGCGACCTCCAACTTGATCTTGCAAATCTGAAAAACTGAGGTTCAATTTCTCCAAGGCAATAAATCTGAGTGCTAGAAAATCAACAAACCCTGTAGAGTTCATCCGAAATGAGTCCCATACGGTGTGCAAATTGGGTTCGGGAATTGAGATCGGATTTCATATCCGCTGCTGCATTGCCCAGCAAATACCCCTGAAGAGCAAATAAATCAAGAGTCAAAACCACAAGGCAATACAAACACATATTCGGATAATCAGCACGAGCGAATTTGGTCGTTCGGACAAATTACTTTTAGATTGAGCCTCGCTTGGCCTGTCCACGGAGCTTCATCAGCTGTAGCACGATAGCCAAAATGGATGGTAAGGTAAATTAGTTATGACCAAAACATGACAGCCAAATCCTTGTGCAATGTTGAAATTCAATTCCACTGTAGGAGTGACAAGACCAATTAGGAATCATGTGATTGCCTGCAGAAGATGATGATGATAATATATGGGTAATAATAGGAACCACCATGCCCGAATATGAGTCTCCAGCAATATACAAAGGGTTCTTCAAGAATCTGGGGTGCCTCATCAGCCACTGCCACAAAGTCATCCATGTACAAAACAAACTCAACCGTTATGAACTCAACTCAAGTCGACTTTTATCAGACGAAATGCGCTGCAAATTTTAAGTAGGATTTGCACCTTGGTGAGAAAGCGAGCGGTCTGATGGGCGTAAGTGGTGTCGCCAGTAATGGAGCCTTGGAAGGTGGTTGAGTAGGAGAATCCAGTGCCAATAGGGCCATCCATGAATATAATACTTGCTACCTACAAATAGTAACCCATAAGCTTCAGAAAATTAATGAAATGGTTACCCTTATGCTGAAAAAAATTATCAATCGCGTACCTTTGTCCAGGAATGAGGGTTGAGAACCAAATTCGGCAAGGTCCCATTGTACTCCACAACTTCAAAACGTAAGGGACCTGTTGTTCAACTTAAATATATCACTAGAAAGATCTCATTGCTGGGTTCCTAAAATAGGCCACACAATATCGCTTTTAGAGTTAAAAAATTGCAACCTATCTCAAAGAGAAGGCCGGAAAGAGCAGAGCAGCCGGGGCCGCCGGTGAGCCAGAGAAGGAGAGGGTCTTCATCTGGGTTCCTTTCTGATTCGATGAAGTAGTAGTAGTAGTACAATAGCTCGCTCTCTTCTGCTTCTTTCTCAGCCACGTCCACGTACCTGAATCATCGCAAAACCCACATAAAGTAGGTATTATCAAATAAATATATTTAGCTAAAGGCAAAAACAAGCGCCTAAATAAAAAAAATGACCGACCCTGTTTCGAGCTTGAAAGGAAGGGGGCCAGAAAACCCTGGCAGAGTTTCAACGATGGATGGGAAAATAGTGCCATTGATGCTGCCAACGACGGCGGACGGATAATCGGCCAGGAGAAATAAAACGACTGTGACTACAAGGATGAATCCTTCTTGCTTTGGCGCCATGGATTGCATGCAATGGGTTGGGAGTTTCTTGTTTTGGGGGCTTGGCTGGCTGTAAAATGAAAGCAAGCTTGGGCTGCCTGTAGATGGTCAAGGGAGTTGTCATTTTCTGAGTCTACACGTGTCCTCAAGTCCATTTCTTGTCCCATAATTTGCATGCCGGGCTTGACTCATTGCGATTTCTCGTTTTCGTTGATCAGAGAATGTAAAGCACGTCGATGTTCCCATTTTGGCTTAATTAGTCTGTCTCCATGGGGGTGGATTCTATCTCTGTCGTATATGGGATAGGTTAAGGGTACATTGGGTGGTCATAATAATATAAATCTCCATAGTTTTTTAATTGCATGTTTCATCATTGGATTTACTAAAATACTTTTCGTTTACCATTACAAATATTTTATTTCATTTGTAATCACTGAAATTAGTTCAGCAATCCAAGTTTGTTTATTGACCGTTCAACTCCAATGACTTTATTTGTTATCACAGTTAATTCTCATAGTTGATCACACAACAAGTGTCGTGACTATTTTCACCTCATCGTAACAATAAATTAAATATAAAAACTATTATAATTACCAAATTTGAAAACCTACCATTTGATGGGGCAGTCGGTGAGGAATCCCATGCGGCAGGGGGTATGGTTTTAAGAGGTGTGGATGGTGTGGTCTTGGCAGCACATGGGGTGATGTATAAAGGTCTTCAGAATCCGATGATGGTGGAACTATCAACATTATGGGACGCGATCTAGTGGTGCCATCTTCGTAGAGTGAAGGATGTAATGATTGAAGGTGATGCGAAGATCGTTATTGATAAGGTCAACGCGGGTAGCACTCGTGATGCTGGTGGTGGGGCACTATTTGAGGAAAGTCGCACTCTTCTCTCGGCATCGCTTGGGATACATATTAGGTTTGCGGGTAGGCAGAACAACAGGGTAACCCATTTGGTGGCTAAGAAGGCCCTGTCTTTGTTTACTACGAGTTTTAATGCTTTTGATTTCCGTGCTTGGCTTTGGTCGGAGCTAGGTCATATGTAACTTTGTGTTCTTGTTTAATGTAAGATAGCTTTTCGTCAATTTTTATTTTGAAAACCCACCATTGTCTTATGTAAAAAATTGAGAACTCACTAGCGGCACCTTCCTTGATGACGATGGAGATCGAAGCTTTAAGTAGTGAAGAGGGATTGTTCCCAAATAAGGTGAAAGAAGGAGATGATCACTGGATTTGAGAAAACCAAAATTCCAAACCAGCTACCATTTTCTTCCATCTGAGTCGCCGTTCCCAGAATCCTAAACCCATAACCATATTTTCCCATCTTGTCCACTTGTTTGAGGATGATGGGGTTCTTATAAACAGTTCGATAGGCCCACAGAGCATCATCAAGGTTGAGCGACCAATCCTTCCGGGCATCGACCGTCTTTTGCAGCATTTGCTTAATCTCATTGTTTGTGAGCTCCACTTGTGCACTTGTTTGAGGACGATAGGAAATTAACTTCTTGTTTGTGATTCCCAATCATGGACACGCTTTATCAAATTGACTTTGGAAGTGGAATCCTCTATCGCTAATGATAGTTATTGGTGCTCCAAATCTTGTGAAAGATTGCGAAGAAATTTCACCACTGGTCTTGCTTCATTGGTTGGTAGTGCTTGTGATTCCACCCACTTGGAAACATGATCCGCTCCTACGAGTATGTATTTGTTTTCGAATGATGAGGAGAATGGTTCCATGAAGTCAATTCCCTATACAACAAAAACTACAACCGGAAGGATGATGTTCTGTGGAGCCTTGTTCCTTCATGTGAAAGTTCCTAGCCTTTGGCATGTGTCACAATGCTTAGTGTAAAGGTTGCAATCATGAAAGATAGTGAGTTAGAAAAACCCACTCTCTAGCATCTTTCTTGCTGTCTGGCTACCACAATGATACCCTCCTGTTGGCCATGAATGACAATGTATGATATTCACGGATTATTTTAATGAGATACACCTTTGGATAATGTTATCATATCCAATTTGATAGAGTTAAGGGTCTTTCCATAAATAGTATTTAAGGTCAACAAAGAACTTTTTCTTTCTTTGGTATGATAATCCATCTAGTAACTACTTAGTGCAAAGGTAGTTGGCTATATCAGCAAACCATGGTCGTTGATCAGTCTCCAAAGCTACCGCCTTTAATTTCTTGTCGGGGACGGAATAATTAATCTCCTCTCTCCGGTTGGAAATCATTTGCTTCTTCAAATCAGGATAGATGATCGGCAGCTACACTGTTCGCTTCCTTTTTGTCTTTTATCTCTATATCAAACTCTTGAATTGCCAGCATCTAGTTGATAAGTCTTGGTTTTGCATCTGTTTTAGTCATCATATGCTAAACTGCTTGCCAGTAAGTGTTCATCCATGTTGAATATGGCGTCTTTCTATATGATCTTTGTACGTGATTGAGTGATCCTTGAGAAATCTTTAATGAATCGTCTATAGAATATGAAATGTCCAAAGAAGCTTCTCATTTTTTTGATAGAGTTAGGTGGTGGTGATAACAATAAGCTAAAAGCAAGAACAACACCAGATTTACGTGGTATCCTCAACGAGTATTGTTGAGACTAATCAACGAAGAGGGCCAACCTCTCAGAGTCAATCGTATTAGCACTTAGAATCCTTAACCTTACATCATAAGCGACTACCAATATATATATACTTAGCCACATAACCCTACCAAGACGGTTAATGTGATTACTGTAGACACCACATTTTGTCCGGAACAATCATCATGCTAATTATATATACATAAAAGGGAGACTTAATTGTATCACAATTATATTTGGAAAGGTAACTTAAGTGAATTGGTTGAGACTAGCAGTAGCAAGTCGATATGAACCAATGATTACCATTTTCCGCTCATATACAATCCAAGAATCAATTCGAATGGACACGAGGATAAGTACTATTTTGAAGCTTAATACGCTTTAGGTTTGGGTTTGAATTTGAGCATTGGTTTACAATGCATAGAAGAAAAGAACAAATCAATAAATACAAAAAAAACATACTTCGCCATTTTACTTCTTCCATGATACATTTGATCGAGAATTACATAGATAACAAAAGAAAGATAGTAATTAAATATATGCAATTAAAAGACCACTCCTTTATAAACCATGGACCTGCCATAGAAAAGAAGAACTAGTCAGTTCTCAAACCCATACACCAGGTCCACAATTTAAGCCCAAACCAAAGTAGTTCAAGTCCAAGAAGTATAAAGCCAGTTTCTTTTCAAGCCCAAACACAAATCAAATCGGCCCAAACCCGACAGGCCCAACTCGACCAACTGGTTCGATCCAGAGACCAGCCCAACAATCCGACCCAGACCAATGTGGTCTAACCAAATCCTATCTACAACCGACCAGGCACACTCTTCAAAGTCATATTAAAAAATTGGACGAATCAAATAGTGACAAGTGGCGGTTTGGTTTGCTATAAATGAGCTCTTGGGGCTCTTTGTTGAGGGGGGACGAATTCCAGGGGGCAGAAAAAAACATCACAAAAATAGAAACTCGCATAGGTAAGAACACTTCCGATCTGGTCTTTCTTTAAACCTTTCTTATACACGAAGTTCAGTCCAGAGGTTTGATGATAGCATTAGGAAGAAGGGCGATCTAAATCAAGAGTTATACCAGGTTTGCTTTGTAGCTCACTACTCCCTCCATAATGAAACTGCGCTTTGCACTCCTATTCGGTTTGTTCCAGTTTATTATATTACTGTCCCAACTAATCTGTTTATTCATTTCCATTTCCATTTAAGTGATTTATGCTTGAGCACTTGTTATTATCTTCCATCCATCTTAAGAGCATATTATTACCATTAAATGATATCAACTACTCATATTGATTATACACACTACGCTGTAATATTTCGTTCAAATTTAGCTACTTGCTTTTTTTTATCTTACTTGCTATCCATTTATAGTGATTAATCACTTTCTATAGATCTACTATTTGTGCCATATATTTTCCATTTTTGACTACTGAACAAAGTTAACACTCAAACACTATAAGCGCAATAAATTTCATATTTCAAAACCCACAAATCAACCATTAGTCTAATAAAAATCGCAAGCAGTTGCAGCGGTATATAGATGTCAACAGTGGCGGTTACCATCTTCATTACACAAAATTAATTCCATTTACTACTTAGATCATGCAAGTGAAATATACTTAAGTTTCATTGCTTTAAACTAAATACAATCAAAATTGCATATATCATCAAAGCACATAGGTGCATAGTTTTTGTTTTGGTTAAAACCTAGTCTGTTTTTTTAAACTTTGGCCTATCAAATCCAAAACCCAGAATCTGCCGAAACCAAAACTGGATTAGCAAGCAACGAAAGACCACCGATTAAAGCCTAAAACACCAAGACCATTTTCCATAAATTCGGATGTACAAATTAATTGTTTTTTTAGATAACCTTCTTAGTTAATTAAACCAATCAAGGTTAAGAGGAACCTCACCTAACACCGTACTTCCCCAAGCCCTGCATCAAATAAAATAGGCAGATTAGAAACCAAAAACATAGATATTATCAAATAAAAAAGGAAAAATCCTCACCAAATCTTTAAGTCGTCGCCGCCGGAGTAGCCTCTGCTACCGTCTCCGTCGACCACTTTTCCAGATCTGCCAACAACAAAAAAACACTCAGTGTAGAACTAAACCGAAGAGAGCAAAATAAAACCAAAAAATGCAGACCTAAACGTCGTTTGTCTGTCTGTCCTAAGGCCTCCCTTGCTGGTTTCGAAGCCCGTAGTCGCCGCCTCGTGTCGCCTCTTTTCCTCCCCACCGAAACCAGAGACTCGAAAACCCCTGAAAATCCAAAAATCAACATAAAATCCAGATTACAACCTTAAGTAACACAAACAAAAGCCCCAAAATCGACATGCAAGATGCCCTACCTCAATCAGTCGTCGCCGTCGAGGCTCCGCTAGTCTTCCCGTCGCCGCCTTTCCATTCGTCTTTGCTCTCGTCATTAACCGAGAGAGAGAGAGAGAGAGTGAGAAGCGGCCGCCTCTAGATGTGTTGGGGGTCTCGGTTCGCTTCTGGGAGAGAGACGAGAGTTGGAGAGGGAGAGTGGATTGAGACGAG